TTTTTATAATCTCGAAGGGGGGAATCATGATTAGCAAAAAAGCCAACGCCATTTTGTTGAAAAAGCAAGATTTTTTTGCCCCTCCCTGCACCCTGCGAGGAGTCTTCTCTTTGATGATTTAGAGAAGTAACCCAAATAAGCAGAAACAAAGAAGAGAAGAGGAAAAAAATCAGAAAACCGCAGATGTCCTTGTAACTCTCCCAACCCATATGCCATGCAAGTTCATGCTGTTGAAACTAGAATTTTGCCGATTGTCATGTCGACAGAAGAGGGAAAAGTTCGTTACACGTAGGAATCCAGTTGAAGGATCCTGGGTATTGATTACACACGCTTAGTAGCGGTAAATATCGGCCTTGAAGGGACCCTCGACGGTGAGGCCGAGGTACTCAGCCTGGACCTTGCTGAGGGTGCTGAGCTCAGCCTGGCAGTGATCGAGGTGGAGACGGGCGACCTCCTCATCGAGGATCTTGGGGAGGACGTAGACACCAACGTCGAGCTTGTCGGTCTTGGCGAACTCGACGTACTTCTCACCCCAAGCCTTGTCGGCGGCCTTGTACAGCATGATCTGGGCAAGGACCTGGTTGGTGAAAGAGCAAGACATGACGAAAGAAGAGTGGCCAGTAGCACAGCCAAGGTTGACAAGACGGCCCTCAGCAAGGAGGATGATGTGACGGCCGTTGGGCATGAGGAAACGGTCAACCTGGGGCTTGATGTTCTGGACAGAGCTGGCGTTGGCCTTGAGCCAAGCAACGTCAATCTCGATATCGAAGTGACCAATGTCTGTTTACCAATGTCAGTGATGAATCATTCAGTGAAAGAGCGATAAAAACTTACTGCAGACAATGGCGTCGTTGGGCATAGCCTCGAAGTGCTCGCCAGTGAGGATATCACGGCAGCCGGTGGTGGTAACAAAGATTTGACCGACCTTGGCGGCCTTCTCCATTGTGGTGACTTGGTAGCCGGCCATAGCAGCCTGGAGAGCGTTGATGGGGTCAATCTCGGTAACGAGGACGCGGGCACCCATGCCGTGGAGGGCCATGGCGCAGCCCTTACCGACATCACCGAAACCGGCAACGACGGCGACCTTGCCAGCAATCATGACATCGGTAGCACGCTTGATACCATCGACAAGGGACTCACGGCAGCCGTAAAGGTTGTCGAACTTGGACTTGGTGACGGAGTCGTTGACGTTGATGGCGGGGACAAGGAGCTTGCCATCCTTGAGCATGCGGTAAAGGTGGTGGACACCGGTGGTGGTCTCCTCAGAGACACCGAAGCAGTCCTTGAGCATCTCAGGGTACTTCTGGTGGACAAGGGTGGTCAGGTCACCACCGTCGTCGAGGATGAGGTTGAGCTTCTTGTTGTCCTTGAAGGCAGTGAGCTGCTGCTCGAGGCACCAGTTGTACTCCTCTTCAGTCTCACCCTTCCAGGCAAAGACGGGGACACCGGCGGCGGCAATGGCAGCAGCGGCGTGGTCCTGGGTGCTGAAGATGTTGCAGCTGGTCCAGGTAACCTCAGCACCGAGAGCAGTGAGGGTCTCGATGAGGACGGCGGTCTGGATGGTCATGTGAAGGCAGCCAGCAATGCGGGCACCGGCGAGAGGCTGGTCGGCAGCATACTTGGCTCGGGTCTGCATGAGACCGGGCATCTCATTCTCAGCGAGCTCAATCTCCTTGCGGCCAAAGGCGGCCAGAGAAAGGTCAGCGACCTTGAACTTGTGGGCGGGAGCAGACATGATGAATGGATGTGGAGGAGGAAGGGATGAAAGTATGTATGAGAGGAGAAGGAAGAAGAAGAGAGAATAGAAAGAGGAGAAGAAGGGATTGAAAAAGTTGAATGGGAAGTGGAAGAATATGTAGGTTGTAGAATCAACAACGAGATAACATTGGGCGGGGCTGAGAGAACTGCTGCTATGGGCTGAGAGCCTCTGGAGGGGCCTGGAGGGGGAGGGGTTGACCAGGGCCCAGCAGTGTCAGTGGGGTTTTTTTCGCGGGCGGTGAAGTCAATGGACGGCAAAATGAGGGGCAGAATTTTCTTCTGCCATTGAGGCCCAGCAATTTTGAGGCGGGGCAGAGCAGAAATGCACTCCGAGTCCAGTCGATCTTTAGGCTAGGTACTTGTAAGCGGGTGGTTGGCTGGGTGCTGAACCTGGTACCCTCGAGGAATCTGGCGGTTTGAAGCGCCAAAAGGTACCTCCGAGCGAGAGTGGATCTCAGGGACTCGGAGAATCCACCTGAGGAAAAAATAAAGAGGAGCTTTCTCATGATGGGAAGCTCCTCCAGGTCTTGGTACGAATACGGGACTAGTGAGAAGGAGACCACGTTGATTTTTCTCATCCAGTGAGTGGGCAAATTGTTAGGCCTCTGTTCTGCTGTCTATAGTGACTATCTGCTCTTCAATTGTTCGTTCCGACTGTGCATATGTAACTTGCTTCGTACAGATGCAGCTTTGGCTGACTTTGACTTGACCCTTGGATATTCCCCGCTCGGAAGCCGAGCACCGCTTCACGCGAACACTACGGGTCATTGATCGTCTGCAAGCTACGAACAGACCGACTAATCTGTATATCCGAATATTCTGAGGGGAGAGTCAGCTCGGAGGCACCTCTTTGGTCTTGTTTATAAGGCGCACACTGATACCAGACTCATCACGTCGTCTCATATACCTTTTCGGCGTGTAAGAGCGAGATGAGATATTTATGCTATGAAACCTGGTCTTGGATTAACCATGAACCACTTCAAATCCCGATGTTATTTGCCGAGTTCACTGAAAGACAAAACAACCAACCGACAGTACCAATGAACTTCTAAACGTAAAATTGTTTCAATGCTCTCAGACTTTGAGAACTTGATTGCAGGCGCTATCTACGAAGCCAGCTTTTTATGACCAAGGCAATGCTACAGTCGTGTCCATCTCTTCGTGACTCTTCAACATCAACACATCAACGTCAGGCTGGCCCCTCATGTGCTCATCAAGTGCTCCTCTTTTTCTCTCAACGCTTTAAAATCTAGACCAGCACTCGATATTATCGACATTGTCCGGAACGCCGCCAATGCAAACCATCACTGAGCGTCTCGTATTCCTGAAATCCCTCGAGACTTTTTGAAAATCCCCGTCTCGCCCGTCCTCCATCTATTTTGGCATCAAGTTCTCCCGCACGGCAAACATCTTGGCACTGACGTTGGCTGTGAATCCATCCACCTGCTTGCTGTATTGCTCCACCTGCTTCGCGTTCAGCATACCCTCCAGTCTGCTGGGCTCCTGGGGAAGCTTGAACAGTCGCTGCCACTCATCCTCGGGAAGAGGAGCTTGCTTGGCAGCAGCACGTTGGGCGTTCTCGGCCTTGCGCTTGGTCTGCCATTGTGTAATCTTGGTCTGCTCACGACCGAGTTGTCGCTGGTAGAACTGGAAGTTGTTGAGGTCGGTATAGTGAGACTCGATGCTCTCGAGCAGAAGATCGCAGGTCTTCTCGAGGAAGGGGTCGATCGCAAGGTCGAGGTTGTCGATAGAGGGGTACAGAGGAGGCTCGAGAGCGTTACGGTTGAGGTCATCCAGCGATGAGGGTTGCTCAATATCACCCTTCACGGGAGCGGAAGGAATCTGGTGGAGGAAGGTTGTGAGGAGGTGAGAGTTGTGGACGTTGACAGGGACCTCGGTGAGGATATCCTTGAAGGTGAGCTTAGACTTTTGCAAGCTGTTACTGGTTAGCATCCCTTTCTCTGGGCCGTGGTAATAGCATCATCGTACCTCTCGGTTGTGAACTTGCCCTCCTTGTAGGCGCTCATGAAAGCAGGGGACAGGCGGAAAGCCCGGAAGGTCAAGTTGCCCTGAGAGCTCTTGCTAGCATCGTGGACGAGGGCGACAGTGTTCTCGTTGGCGCTTTGGTAGTGGAACTGGTTCTCGATGAAGTTCAAGTTGACAAAGTTGCCCATGGTGGCACTTGTGTACCAACCAACGTTGTTGGCGTCGACGTTGACCTCCTTGAGGTGTCGGATCATCTCATTTTGGTAGTGAATGTTGTTCTTCTGTCGGGGAGCAGCAGCGGCGATCTGCGAAGCATCGTTCTGGTGGCTATCGGTCGTAGCGGGGTCGACGGTAGGGAAAGGGAACGTATTGGTGACCTCGAGAAGACCCTCGTTCTCCATACCAACAATGGCTCCAGTCGCAACAGATGGGAAAGCCGAAGAGCAGTGCTTGGCAATCTTCATGATAACCTACACCACCGACTGAGGTCAGTCCCATTACTCTTTACTCGTCCTTCAAGAGGGGGTCTCAAAGACCAAAAGGTGGGGCATATTCAACTCACCAGAGCCTCGACTTGAACGATCTGGAAAGGCGCAGCAACAGGCGCATCGTTGGGAGCGTCCGCCATATTGACAAAAATTCGGGACGAGATATTCACGGTGCCGCGAGAGAAGGAGAGAGGTTCGGCGCTACGATCGCGAAAGAGGCGGGTGGTGTTGCAAGGCTTCGGGGCTCTGAAAGGTGGGAATATCGAAACTTTTCGTTCGTGTACTCATTTGTGGGCTGTGGGATGTCTAGGCGGTGACGTGTGGCAGATTATATATCCCGCGATTGACGTTACGAGCCGACCTACGATCTTCGTTTATCACCACCAGGCCAAGCATACGGCGGCCAGAAAAGTGCCTTATTTATCCCAAATTTACCGATATCACGCTCGCTGTCATGATACGGAATGGATGTGTACTTTATCTCTCTTATGCGTCTCTTCGCGGTCCGTTCTGAGCTGGGCACCTTGCCCTCGTTCTCTACAGACATTCAATGCCATCAACTAGAATACCACGAGCAATTTAAAATCTAATTATTGTTTTATCTCATTTATAATTCTATCGTCTAAGTCATTCCCAGAGCACATCATCATTTTCCCCAGCAAACGCCATTCTTTTTTCTGTCCCATGTTTTTCTAACCCTCAAGACCGACACCCAACGCCTCATAAGCTTCTTGAACAAAAGGTTTCAGAAGTCTCAAACCTTGTCATCTAATCCTGCCAGGGGATAATCTCCCAGCTCTCGGCATTGTCTCGAATGATAAGTCGATGTTGATCAATCTTCCAGAATGCATACAAGGAGCGAGTTGCTCCAGCAGCTTTGCGATGAGCTGGGCCTGTACCACCCTTCTTGGCATCTTCCCGCGAACGCCAGACACAAGTCGCCAAGTTGGCCAATTCTGAGTCAGGTTCTCCAAACCAGTATCTGTTCCGTGTCAATACAATAGACTCATGCAGAAGATGCACTTCCAACTTACTTGAGGAATCCACCACTCGCCACGGCCTCAGCATGTGCACCCTTGTCGAGAACGCCAAGATCAGCATACTCAGTCTCCTTCTTGATTCGTGATCGGAATGCCACAATATAAAACGACGTTTCTTTGAAGGGTTTTCCAGATTCGACCGCCAGACGTTTCACTTCTTCGATCACCTCTGGCCAGTTGAAGGATTCTGTGTATGGGGCTGTCGCGTAGTCGTCACGGAGAACTCGAAATTGACTCAAGGCTCTTGCGAGGAGCTCATTTTCGTTGTCAAGAGTGTCAAGGTCGAGCAAATGCTCATGTTCCGTGTATGGTGATTGGATAAGATACCGATGGTTGGCTGCGAGTTCCGGGCTGATTTCTCTCACTTCGGCTTCAGCAGCTGTTTTGGAAAATACGTCGAGTGAGGATGCAGGAGCTGTTTGCACATCTGCAGTTGCCATTGTGGGTTATTTAAGTTTTGCAGTGTGTTGAGTACCGAGTGCGCAGTCAAGACACAGTGAAATGTTTTGGGTATCTCGACACACAATGGCAGAAGATGGAAGGGGAATATATGGAACTACGAGTCAGGGCGCGGCGACGGCGACGGCGAGTCATCAGCAATTTATAGCACACGATACATCTTTACAGTCTCTTAGGCAATCAAGCCTTGAATAACGTGCTCAAATGACACCATCTGAGCCGGACGACGAAGGTTACACATGTGGGTCGGTGAAGACTATCAAACGGTCTTTCTGCCGGTAGTTCTGGAAGTTACTTACTTATTAGTGCGGGTGGTCGGGCGTCTCAAAAATGGCACTCCTCGAACTAGACCGGTCAAGACTTGTGGTCCGAGTCAGCCAGGCGGGCTATCTGGGAATCGGAGAACTCTGCAACTCGTATTTGCTGGATTACTACAAACGGCTTCGCAGAATAACCAAGTACACCGGAATTCTCGTTGTCTCTGAGAGATCCGGAATCTCGCATATCAGAGACAGGTATGCATGTATCTATGGCGACTTCTCACCAAACCATGATGAAATACCGGGATCAGCTACAAGTAATGAGCGAGATCCTTCCTTCACCGCCAGAAGAACGCTTCATCAACTATTTCACCGGTTTCGGGCATTCATGGAAGGACAAGGCGGAGGGTCGGAACAAAGAAGGAATTATACTTTTATGTAACCAGGGGTCCTTGATAACACGGATGTGAGACTAACGCAGGCCAAACTGCAATGACATGTGCCTACGGTTGGCGCTAAAAGAAAATGGCCGACGGTACGACCCAACCGACCATCTTGAATTACTGCTACACCATACTGATACAATACCACATAGTCGAGGTCAGCCGAACACTTGACGAGAATGACTCTTTGTTGGCAGTTGCTTGTCAGATAACCGATTTACACGGCACATTATAAGGAGCCGGCCGTAAATCCCTAGTCAAATCAACTCTTAAAGTTCTGAGAAGCTTCGTTGGCAAGCATTTCTTTTTGAAGCAGCATAATTAGAAAGCATGATCATCGTTCTCATCGTGGCCCTCAGATTATAGTCTAGCCCTATAGAAGACACAATCTGGCATTGTCGAATGAATTCTCTGGATTACGAGCCTCCCTCGGGTTGTTGCACATAACTTTCTGAAGACGTCAGAAGCCACGGGGATGTCGGCATCCGATCTACGATCGTGCTCGTTGATCATTGTATAAGTTCATAATTATTGTGATTGTGTGATACAATCCTTTGGGGTCTTTATATTGGTCAATTGATATAGGGATCGCTAGAAAATATGATCGAATGTCTAATTGGTCTATCACAGCTTACCTATATCGCACACCATCACAATGGGCCATCGTCCTCCACATCTGCCTTTCTCCTTCTCAACCAAACTTTGGCCATCTCATACGACCCCAGATAGAGTCCACTCCCTAGCATCGTCCACCCGGATCGCAGAGCCGCACCCCGGAAGAATCCCCGCACTCCCCTCTCTTGGTAAACCTCCTTCGAGACAGTCCACGCCCCCTTCTTGGGTTGCTTTCCCTCAATCTTGGCTGCGACTTCGCTCTGGCCTTGTGTCGGATTCTCGCTCTGACTCCCGGCGCTCAACATCATCCTCGTCTTGACGACATCACTTGGTGTCGTTATGAAAGCAGCTATTGATCCAGCACTTCCGGCACTTAAACCCGTAGCGAGCCCCGTCTCGACAAGCCCCGGCTCCAAAGTTCCGGAACCTCGCGATTTCCAATATGTTGCTCGCACATGCTCGAATATAGGGAATTGAAGAGCTGTGAATGGTAAATTTCGTGCGACTAGTGCTGTGTAGCCTGTGAAAAGGCGACGTGATACTCCATCACCGGCCAGCTGACGGAATGCTTGCAAGGAGGTTGAAGATCCAGATCGTCCAGCCCGATGACTATCATTCTGCAACATCTGAGCATTTTGCTTGATGACCTCTGCTGGTGCGAGGACTAAGCAGGATGCCATCTCTGCCACCCCTGAGGCTGCTGAGTGAACCAGGGGTTGAGGTAATGGCGTCGCATTACCGATGATGCGTTTGGCGCTCTCATATGTCGAGAAGAATAGACCCGCTGTGAATTGTGTAAGCCAGCAATTCCTCGTGTTTCGTCTTCTAATACACACCTGCTGGAAGAGTAGCCAGGACCACACTTCCAATGCCCTGGTAGAGTCCTCGTACAGCCCATATGTTCTTTTTTGAGCTGTCGGAATATGTCTTGAGGTAATCTTGACTCTGCAAACGAGTCTTAATGGTATCGAGCGGGTAGACCAATACATCTACTGTAAATGCTGCAATAGCACCAGCCTATGAATGTGTGAGTGAGTGTATCATGACCAGAGCCTTGATTAGTTAGCCAATCTTACAATATATATGTCCGACATGTTTTCCCTCAAACGCCTGCTGCATGGATCGTGATGATGAATTTCTTCCAGGTTTGTAGTGAAATATGGGCTCTCTTACACCATGAGCTGGTGATGTCATGGTTGTGTGCTTATATCCACTCTCGGATTACCCTGCACTTCGACTCATCATGGAAACATCTCGAGCTCATAGCATGTGAAGAGACATGAAATAGCCTTGAATAAATGTATCACTATAGTTTTAGTATGATACTAGATGACTTCCTTGTCATGAGTCATAAGAACAATTCTATATCGAGTTCAACATCTCACTCATCTTCTGCGTAACTCAAATAAGATAATACAAATCAGAACTACTTTTAGAATTAAGAATGTATATGATCCCATCTCTTGACGCCAGCCCATATACAACCCCATGATTCAAGCAAGCCGGCGCTTCCCCTGCCGTCTATGTGACTTAATACTCCAAAACGTCCCAAGATAATAAATCACCAAAATGCTTGCGTTTCCGTCTTTATAAGATGTCCTCTGCTCTATCATAAAATCGCGCCGTAAATCGAATGACAAAGGAAATCATAGCTTGCTCTTTACAGCGGGGGTCGTCTCGTTAACTACTGCCACCACGACACAAATATCGTCGACTTTGCCGCCGTGCCAGTTTTCTTGGGGATAGTATTTGTGGACCTCCTTGGCGAATGGCCCATCAAGTTTTGTGTTGACGCTGGCTCGCTTGGCGGCTGTCACGATTTCCGTAGCGAGTGCGCTCTGGAGTGTAGCCGTTCGTTTGCCTTCGGAGGCTTCAGGGAACTCAACCAGAGGCTCTAGCGAATCCGCAACGCGCACACCACCAGCATCAGTCATTACCCAGGCGCCTGTGGATACCAGAACTCGACTGGCGATTCGTAGAATATCTTGGTTAAAGAGATTGTCTAGAACACCGTCGGTCGCAAGAACAAGAATATCGCCGTGACGGAGCGCGTGCTGGGTAACGTCAGCATCCCTGGGAAGGTCGCTAAGCTGAGCACCACCAAAAGCTGCCATGCGAGCAGCAACGCTGGGAGGTACAAGAGACAATTGGAAAGGAGTATTGAAGGCGTGCGTTTGGGGTTCGGAATATGTGTGAACTCCATTAAGTCGAAGTTGCAAGAAGCCGGAATCACCAAGGTTCGCAACGTCCAGGTTTCCATCTGCTCCAGCAATAGCCACACACGCTGTGCTTCCGCCAGCGCGGAGACTGTTGTCGTTGCAGATTGCTTCGTATCCCTTCTGCATCAACTGTCTTGCTGTCAAGGGAGGCCCTGATCCAGTCTGGTGTTCGTGGGCAGCCAATGCCATATAATCGCAAAATCCGTGTGAGAAATCGGCGGGGTCGACACCAGAATCCACCCAGCCCCCAACACCATCAGCAACACCAAAGGCTACGGACCCGGAGTCGTTGATCCGGCTGACGAAGAAGGCATCGTGTCCAGATTCGGGTCGAGCGGAAGGTCGACGGTTTCGAGGGGGCTGAATGCGATTGTATGGGTTGAAGTGGAAGACGTGAGTGGAGGGGTCGTATGGCCTGTCCTTGGCAATGAAGGAGGATGCGACATGGTAAGAGAATCGAGGAGCATCGGCGGAGGTGGAGTAGAGTCTGGAGCGAGGGCACGAACTCATTGCGATATGAGGATGAGCACGGAGTCGAGAGGAGGATTGCGTCGGGGCTGGCACCATTAGAACTAAGGGTGCTCGGGTTTCATAGTAGCAATGCGACCAACCCTTAGCAAGCGTTCGTAATGAAGCCGTAGCGAGTCGATTGTAGGGTGCAGCCATGGAGGGCTAGAAAGTGGATCATCCAGAGACAAGAATCGATGCGAATAGTGACGGGTCGGAGCGATGATGGGAGGAGGATTAAAATATTGGTGACGATGCGACTTTGATAGAAATTACAGAGAAATCATCTTTGCCAAGGAGATCGTAAGAGAAAAAATTGGTGTCATGAGAGAAGTGGGATCGTGAACGGAGAAACAAAGTTGTTGAGCGCCGATTTACCAACTTGTTATCTAATCTTGACTGGCCAAGCAAGCCCCTCCAATGGATATCCTTTCACAAGAACCAATTCCTCGGAACAAAGAGGCAAGCCACATATGCAAGATAAAAGGAGGCGGTGCATGGTTCAAAGCCACTGCATGCTTCTCCAATATTTCCCGGAATCTCATCTCCGCAATTATTGATACCCGCTGTTGATCCGCGATCTATATCCGCGAGGAAGGCACGTCACGTGGTTTCACGAGCGCTGTTCCTGCCGATTCCGAGACCAGCGAAGCCGAAGTTGACAATCGCAAATTTGTGATTGGCCAGAGGTCATCCGTAGGTCCCAGTGTAAACTGCAATAACCGAGGAAGGTTTGCCAACCCAATACATGACGACGAGAATCCTCGATACGCCACTCTTTGCGAATAGACAATTCAACTCTATCGGAGGAGATTGCACGGCATTTCTTTCCTGTCAATTGTCTGACCACAGTTCCAACTAAACATTGCGAAGTTTGACTGTCCTTCTCCTCCGGTCCCAATCGCAATTGTACTTCCTCGATTCGATTATTCGTCAA